GGGGGGGGGGGGGGGACACAAGTAATAGTGCTGCGAGGCAGTGATGAGACATGTACACCAAAACGCATCGAACAGCAACACGACACTGAAAAGGAGAGGCGGCAGCCTGAAGGGTGCATTTCTCGTCCTAGTCCGTGCTGGCACCTGGAGAAAGGGGACCTCTTCAGGGGTAAGTCGCTTCAGCCTCGCGCGGAGCTGTGGGGCGGTTTCGAGCTCGGAAGCGTCGTCGTCACCGAACCAGACGGAAACCTTCTGGCGCAGCGCGTTCATCTCTTGGAGCTCGAAGGCTGGACGGAAAGCGAGACGCGGGTTTTCGAAAATTGAGGGGCACGTGAGGAGGGGGAATCGTGAGGGTCGCTGTTTTGTTGGGGGCGCTTTCCGCACACGGCAAAAGAATATCGGCCATCTCTGTGAGGATACCAGGCACGTTCGATGTTAGCGTGTCTTTCTGTGGTGGGGGCAATAGCTGGGGGCTATCGCACCATCCGGCACGGAATCTGGCAAGCTTTTTGCAGTGGTTGCACGCAACTCGCAGTCCAGAGAGAGCAAGAGCGAGAGAACGGGAGGTACTAGGTGCCAACAGCAGCGGTGAGTGAGTGAGTGACCGACCCTATTATGCTAGTACCGCCCACGGTCAGTATTGAATTGTTTATTAGTGTGTTTCGCCGAGTGTGGTTCCACCGCCCTGGATGACACCATCAGTCGACCAGGATTTTCCCACCAATCACAAACCTTCTCTCAAAACAACTGGCCACTCAGAAAACGTCGGGCACCGTTTTTCTCTCTCTCTCTCTCTCTCTCTGCAGCGTGTGGGTTTGGACACGTTTTTGCACGCGTACTACCAAGGTGAGAGTCCGTTAGGAGAGTCGCCCTGAACCTGTCCCAGCACAACAGCGGTGATGCCGCTTCACAAAAAAACGGGGAAGCCCGGTTCCACTACGGGCATCTACAGCAGTCACCTTGCACAATGCTGGGACGCAGCGCATTGAGTTGCTTCGAGGAAAACACGCCCCGCGTGACGGCGTGTCCATTCCTCTCGAACGCTAGACGATCTTCTGCGGGAACATCGAAGTCGGCGGCTTCCAGAAAGGTCAAGCCCTTCTAATAAAAAAAAAACGACGGACGGCAAATGAGCGCGGTTGTCATTTCCTCGCACACCTTTCTCGAGTCGACCGAAGCCTGCGGGTTTGCGCATGCGGCCGGCGGACCATATTGAGAATTTAGGACACTCAGACTGCGCAAATATCGCTGATTTTACTTTGCAAACAACTTCGGTTAACTAGGAAAACGACTCGAAAAGTGTGTAAACCTTCTGGAAATAAAACCTCAGGTGGATACATATCCTCAACCCTGATTGGTCGACGCCGACTTCACCCTAATGTGTCATAAGAAGGTACACCTTGCTGCGGCTACTTTCTCTGGGGTTGTACCCTGATATTTCGGGAATGTATGCATACCCTACTGACGTGACGGGAAATGGGACCGTTCCATGGATAGGCAATTTTCTCCTACCAAAGGACTACCTGTCGTTGACTTTCTGTTGGCTTGCGGACCCTTCGGGTCCATTTTATTTGCGTATACCTTTATTGGGTAAGTTAGCCTGTGACCACGAGAATCGACCCCGTCAAGTGTTAAGACTAGCACGGACAGAAGAAGGCACTGGGTAGAGAGAACGGAACGTTTTTTTTTGTGAAGTCAGCATCATCAACAACAACAAAGGACAAGAAAAACGAGTGTTCCTGCTCCACGAAAATGGCGGCAAAAAAAGACATCCGAGACACGCTCCATAGTTGAACCCAGCAGGGAGCAGAGCAGTTCATGGTCAAATGGCACACGGAGCAAGAGAAGCAAAGCATACTACTCGCGGAGGAACGGAACAAGAAAAACATCGGACAGAAGACCAAAAGAACAGCAGAGTAGGGGGGGAAGGGAACACGGGGGGGGGAAGCGTCGAAAGACGGAAGACACGACTGCAGCCGAAGAGAGCAGAACGGAGATGGCTGAACGGATAGAGGGATGTGTGCCGGGATGATGATGAGGATGGACAAGATAGCACGAATACCAACTGGATGTATCCCCTTTTTTTTTCAGTCGTGTTGCTAACCCCCGCCCCCCCCGGTGATTGCCATCGGGGTTGGGTTTTCGTCGCTTGGCAACGACGTTGTGAAACAAGCCAATTCACTTCGTGAACTCGGCAACCAGGTTACCGTTTTTTTTTTACCTCCGTTTTTTTTTTTTGGCGGTAACCATAATGGTGGTCGAGTAGATCATGTTGTGCGGGGTGGAGAACTCTCGCTCCGCGCAAGAGGGATGATCGCACCACGTTGTGTTGAAATGGTCAAGCACCCTCAAGGCAGTTACACAGTGCTTACAACTGTCTCTGGAAGTGAAAGCACCAGAAAATAAATTATCCATACGCAGCTGTCATCCGTACGCAAGGAAGTAAGCACAATATGCCGAACACCCTTAGCAGGATGCAGCGCACCCTTCATGCGACTCGCCGAATATCTCACGGCGCTTCGCGCTTGGTGATGTGAGAGCCTGGTCCGGTGAGAACCCGGC